TGACGACCACACCTCAGATTTATCCTGCAGAAAAACTTTACCTAAAAATAAAGTGAATTTCTTTTTTGTGTGTGATTAACAGAGAAATACTTTGACATGAAAAAAGTTCAATGCAAAGAAGGACTGGACCTCTACAAGAAGTTTCTAACACGAATGACAAGAATCTCCGAGTTCCTCAAAGTTGCAGAGGTAAGTCTCATTCAGCCTGTCGGGGAGCGTGTGATCATTGAGATCAGCTGTTTCTCAGTCTGATTTTCGGTTTGTTTGCCTTCAGCAAGTTGGAATTGATCGAGGAGATATCCCAGACCTGTCTCAGGTGAGCCTTCACACAAACACAGTCGTTTAGTGCAGCAGATAACATGACTCAGCACTGCGCTGTTTATTATCGCTTTTCCTGAGTAAAAGGTGGAGAAATTAATAACGCACATGTAACTGTGGAGCCACCACAATTGAAAATAGTTGGAGCAATTCACTAAAACCTGCAAACATATGTGGAAATACAGTTTATAATCTTTCACAGGTGTTTCATATACGAAGGTGAAATTTCACTCCAATGTTAAACGGTGATGTCACGCAGATGATGTTCTGAAGATTAATGAACAATAACATAAAATGATCAGGTGCAGGAAGCAGCCAGTGACCAAAGCAGCACTGTGCTGTTGTTAGAAAGACGTTACAGGCTAACATACATGAGCGGCACATTTTCAAATAAACTCGCTGCATTATGAGTGCAGTCACAGACGTTTACAATCTCAGCAGCATGGTTGTAAATGATGCAGCAGTGGGCATGTTATTAAATGTGGCTGTTATTGTCCTTTCACAGCTGCTAACTCGCTGAAGCTTCAGTGCTAACAAGCTTTAACCCACTGCTGTTGCATGTGTTGCATAGGGCTGGGCGATGTGGACCAACAATCATGTATCGATATTCTTTAGCTGAATGTCTATGCAATATATATCTTTACATGTTTTTCTACCCATAAAGGAAAAACAGAGTTCTCAGTCAAAGCTACGTGTGCGAGATGTCACATGGACACTCAGCTGCAGATGCAGATGCACTCAGATATAAATGATTGGTCTTTATTAAATAAAATACAGTAATGGTGTTTTTCAGCTTGTGAAAGGATTTTCAGTGTCGGTGTGAACGTTGTAACCTTGAAGCCTGATGCTGTTGACAGATTAGTCTGGCACAAAATCAGGAAGACGTACGGTCGTTGGCGTGTTCTCACTACAGTTTGATTGTCATTTGATATCATATTTCTTTCTTATTTCAAATCAGCTGATTCAGTATTGCACTCAGCAGTGTCCAGATGAAGCCTGTGACCAAAGCCCCATGTTTAGCCTCGTTAGCCAGGTTGTGAGAGCATCCTGCCTCAGCTGTGTGGTCTAGAGACAGGCAGGTTTCAGTCCAGTCTTCCATGTATGGCTCACAGGTGCTGCTGGACCACATGTCATCAGTGAGACGCTTTGTGGAGCCGGGCAGCGAGCTTCTCGGTAACTTCAGTAAACATTGTTGGCAGTAACTCTCAAAGTATCTCTGACTGGGTAACTGGTGTTTCAGCAGCTGTATGAAGCTCTCCTGTTCCACAGTGGAGATCATGTCTTCAGCGATGGTCACTGCTTTAGTAATGTCACTCCCCTCCCATAATCCACGTGTGTGCGTTTTATAACGCCGTTTGCTTCAGGTGCAGGAGGCTGGGAGGACTTTGCGCTCTGAGATACAGCACGCGCTTTATGGCGCTGTTGTAAATGGTGGAAAAGATGAGCAGTGCTCGAACCTTTTGTCAGGACGCTTTATTCTGCTGCTGACACTTTGAATCCAAACCATCTCCAAATATTCGACCAACCAGCTCCGCTTCAATAGCGACCGTGTCCATCCTGTCGCCGCCTGCAGGTGAAGCGATGGGGGACGAGAGAGCGGCTCCACAAGTATAATTATAACACAACATAAACGATGTGGATATAAATAATATTGTCATATCTTATGTCTCATATAAAAGTATACCCCCTGTGGTTCAGGGGGTTGGGAAGCTCATCTTGTAACCGGAAGGT